CTGCCCTCCACCGCCGCACCGGCTGCGCAGAGCCCCGCGACAGCCCCGGGACAGCCCCGGGACAGCCCCCAGAGCCCCCAGAGCCATGGAGTCGGTGGCCCTGTACAGCTTCCAGGCGACGGAGCAGGATGAGCTGCCCTTCCAGAAAGGGGACACCCTGAAGGTACAGGGGGGACCAGGGCTGGGGTTGGGTGCTGTTGCTTTTGGAGGGGACAGAGTGGGCACACGGTGACACCGGTGCTTTCTTTGTCCCTGATTTTAACGCTTCTGGGGCTTTCTGTGGGGTATAAGGAGCCAGCCTCGAGGATTTGGGAGGGTGGAGTAGCATTCCCTGCTCGCCTGTGCCGCCAGGGATGGACTCCCGCAGCTGGGACATGGCTTGTGGCCTCCCTGGCTACCAAGTGCCACCAGCTGTGCTCTGTGGCAGCCCCTCGGGGCTGGGACACGTTTTCCCTGTCTGGGAAGCACTGGAGGTCACAGGGATGCAGCAGCAGGGAACAGCCGCCCACCCACCCACTCAGGCACTGCCGTTGGGGTGGGCTCTTAGATGGCACCTGGGAATCCCAAAAAAAACCTCCAGGAGGGCTCAGAACACGGCTGGGAGACAGCAGCCCTGCGATGGGACTGAGGACACCCCTCCCTGCTCATCTGCTCATCCCTCTCGGGCTCCTCCCGCACCCCTGGCACCCTGGAGCCCCTCGGGGAGGGTTAGGGGTAGGGTTAGGGTTGGGAACCCAGAGCCCCAAAGCCTCCGTGCCATCCCTGCCCCTCGGCGTGTTTTCCCCGTGCCCTGACCCGGGGTTTTGGATCCTGTTTTCACAGCTGTGCCGGCCCCGGGCCCCTGCGTGGGAGGCTGGAAAATGTTGTCACACGGAAGCGGTGTCAGCACCCACTGCCACCATCCCCGGGTGGCCTGGCTGCTCCAGGGACAGATTTCACCCTCTTCCCCGGGCAGGGGTTTAGGACAACACCAGGCTCTGTGACCCCAAAACCCCCAGAGTGTGTGGGAACTGTCAGAGCCCCCCTTTTCCCCCAGGGGATGCTTGGTGGGTGTTGTGGGGTCTGGGGCAGCAATGGGGTCCCACTCAGCCCCTCTCCCAGGGGAATGGCAGCCAGGCTGACACCTCCCTGCTCCTCTCCCACCTCAGATCCTCAACATGGAAGATGACCAGAACTGGTACAAGGCTGAGCTGTTCGGCTGCGAGGGCTTTGTCCCCAAAAACTACATCAAGGTCAAGCCACACCCGTAAGTCCCATCCCACCAGCCAGGCAACAATCCCAATTCCCAAAGCTCTGCCGCGAGCCAGGGTAGTCCCACACGTGGGGAAACTGAGTCACAGAGATGGGGTCTGCCTGCCGGCTCAGTTTGCCGGTGCCACCACAGCCCGAGGGGACAGCAGCACACCCATGTACCCCCAAAAATCCGACCCTCACACCGAGCTGCCTCTAAATAAATGATAATTGGGGAGCAACAAAGCGTTACGGGATTACGACTGCATTAAACACAATCCTATTACCGCGCTATTAAAGCCCAGCCTAATCCATCCCTGATTGAACCTGTGTTTTATGTATCCTTAGCCCCTGGTAAATCACATTTAAATGCCAGAGCGAACGCGTGGGCTCGGGGCAGCCCGGGGCGCATCCCACTGCTTCTCCAGCTTGGGATAACAACCGGGATGGGCGAGACAAAACCTCTTCCATGCAGCACCTGGAGGGCTGGCTCTGTGCTAAACTCCGTGGCTGATCATTCACCGGGCAGTTTTTACGGTAGCAGAGAATCTTGCCGGCGCAGGGAGCTGAAATACCCCGGCCCAGCCTCGGCAGGGGTGGGACGCGGGGACTCCGCTCCTGGGACTCCCTCGGGCAGGAGGGGTTTGTGCTGGCACCGAGGCTTTTCTGCTCTCCACCTGGAGGGGCCAGGGGAGGGGACAGGCGGCGGAGCGAGGCCCGAGGTGACAGCCCCGGTGACAGGATGCGGTCGCGGCTGTCGGTGACGCTCGCCCCGCTCGGAGGGGGCAGAGCGCCCGCAGCACCCTGCGGTGCCCCCCGAAAACAGCGGGATGAACCAGGAGGGGGAAAGGAAGGGAGGAACGGCCGGGGGAGGGTCCCAGCCCTGTGAGGAGCCCGATGGAGGCCCCGCTCCCGGCGGCACCGGGAATCTCGGTGCCTCCACCCCGCAGGGTGCCGGGGTGTCCCCGGGGGTGCCCGAGTGGCTCAGCCCGGTGCCCCTCGCAGGTGGTACGCGGGCAGGATCTCCCGGCACCTGGCAGAGGAGCGGCTGCTCCAGTGCGATCACCTGGGAGCCTTCCTGATCCGCGACAGCGAGAGCGCCCCGGGAGAGTTCTCCCTCTCCGTCAAGTGAGTGCCTTTGGGACAGGAGGAGGGGAAGGGGTCCCCGCAAGCCCCCGCTTTGGGAACCGAGACATTGGGCCCTCCTCGTGTGTGCTGGGCAAGGGCTGAGCACCCTGCCCTGTTCTGGCCACCTCGGAGCCGTGTCCCAAACACATCCAGCACAGCCTCGCACAGACCTTCCCCTCCTTCCTCGCCTCCATCCCCGCTGCTTCTGCTCCCCGCACCGCTGCCTCGCTTGGGGTCCCTCGCAGGGACACCCCTAAACACAACCCTGTGGGTGATGATGGGGCTGGGGCCGAGCTACACGCACAGCCCGGGGACACGGGAACAGAGCCCGGAGCATCCCCAGGGATGAAGGGCTGGAGCATCCCCGGGGATGAAGGGCTGGAGCATCCCCGGGGATGAAGGGCTGGAGCATCCCCAGGGATGAAGGGCTGCAGGATCCCCGGGAGTTCAGCACTGGCTGTACATCGGGTAGAGCCTGTCCCTGGGTATCTCACCCCTTCCGTGCCCCGGCCAGGGGAGCAGGGGGCGGCCCCAGGCCAGGCAGGCACTTTCTCACCCTTTTAATCCCTAATTGAACGTTTCGGGAGCTTCTTGCCGCTAATGAAAGGGAGCCTTGCTCTGCCGTGCGTCACCAGCAGCGCGGCCGGGTCCTGCCCCTGCCTCTGGGCACTGTGGGCACCCCAACCTCTCACCCCAGGCACACCCTGTGGGGTGACAGCAAGGGAAATCCTGCCTGCCCCATCCTCCTGCAGCGCGGGGGTCCCCAGGAGCACAATCCCAGCCTCTGCAGCCTCCTGGCGTGTGGAGACCCGCAGTCTCACCACGCCTCCCTCAGATGTGGCCCTGGACAAAGCCACCTGCCCTCCACGTGGCTGGCACGCTGCCACCCCCGAGCCCCGCCGTGCCAGGGCCTGCACCCAGCTCTGGCTGCCCGTGGGGTGAGGTGTAGCAGGGCTCAGCTGTGGGTCCTCACTGCAGGGCCAGGAATGACCCCAGTCACCCCCACCATGGCAGGAAGGGTGCAGAGAGACCCATGGGCTCACCCCGACCTTGCCAGCACCCCCAGGCTTTACCCACCTCAGGGGATGCTGCCAGGATGTCCCCAGGGTGACCCCCATCCTCCTCCTGCAGCTACGGGAAGAACGTCCAGCACTTCAAGGTGCTCAGGGAGAGCAACGGCAAATATTTCCTCTGGGAGGAAAAGTTCAACTCCCTCAACAAGCTGGTGGATTTCTACAGGATGACCACGGTTGCCAAAGAGCAGCAGATTTTCCTGTGGGACAAGGACCAGACCCAGGAGGTACCACCATGGATGGGGCCACGGGTCCCAAACCCCTGTGTGAGCCCCCTCAGTGTCCCTGCAGAGGGGGACAGGGACATCCCTGGCTGGCCCTTAGCCTTTGGCTCGAGGGGTGAGGAACAGGAGAGGGTGCAGCAGCCTGAGACAGGCAGTGCAGCAGGGAGGAAGAGCTCCTGGAGCAGCTCAGCGGGGCAGGGCAGGGCACACATCGCTGTCCCTGGGGCCAGGGGTGATGCCCAGGGCAGGGGGCACAGCCAAACAGCAAAGCCCTGGGGCAGTCCTTGTGGAGGTGGCAAAACTGGACTTTGGGAGCTGGGATGGGGAAGGCTCCAGCACCTGGAAGGACCTGGGAAGGAGAGGAGCTGCCTCCAAGGGTCCCCTGGGCACCCGCCTTGGGTGTACTTGCAGCAAGAACAGGGAGCCTTGTGCCCTGGGGTGTTCCCCTGCAGCTGGGATCGTCCCCAGCACTCCACTCCTCCCTTTTCTAGCTTCTGTCTCTTCTAAGCAGGCATCCCCAGGCTCGTCCCCATCCCGTGGTGGCACAGTGTCCCCATCACCCTGAGTGCCCAGGCAGTGCCACCCACGCTGGGGGTTGGCAGATGGGGACCCCTCTCCTCCTGCCAACCCCTGCCCTCGGCTTCCCTGCAGGTGAAGAGACCCCGATTTGTGCAAGCCCAGTTTGATTTCTCTGCCCAGGAGGGCTCCCAGCTGCCCTTCCTCCGTGGGGACATCATTGAGGTCCTGGACTGCCCCGACCCCGGCTGGTGGTGGGGGAAGATCTACGGCCGCGTTGGGCTCTTCCCCCGGCGCTGCGTCCACCCCGTCCGCCAGTGACCATCACCGCTGGTGACCTCACTCAGCCGGTGTCCTCACTCACCAGAGCTGCCTCGTGCCTGTCCTGAGTGTCCACTCACCCCTGAGTGTCCCCAGGATGGTGCCTGGCCCTTGTGAAACCTCAGCTGTGGCTCCCCTGTTCCCCAGGGCTCCGTGACCCCCAGGGATGGGGCTGGCAGCGCCGCTGCCCAGGGAGGGAGTGGGGAGTGTTCAACCACGGCCATAAAAACTTTTCCAGAGCCACAATCCAGTGGGATGAGAGCAACAGAGGGGGTGAGGCCAAAACCCCAAACTTTGGCTCCTCTCCAAAGCCCCAGCTCCAGGGAGGGCTGCAGGCAGCCAGGACACAACCAGGATCCACAACTCCACGGAGGAATTCCAGGACTCAGGGTACCAGGGAAGGCTGATCCAGGGGGATTCCATGCAGCAGGTGCTGTTCAGAGCTGCGATTTGTGGCACTTTTTTATATTCTTTTTTATTTAGGGCAGGTAAAATGTGTCTGGGCGTTGCCTTCGAGTGTGGCTGCTCCTTTTCCAGCACTGCCAAGGTGGTCCCGTCCCTCCATTCAGGCAGGTGCTGCTTCACTGTGGCTTTGCTTCCCTGCAGCCCCCATTTCCCCACCCCAATGCCTTTCCCAAACCCCTCCCAGGGGTTTTCTGTCCCCACAAATGCCCCCCACACCTCGCACCCTCTGGGATGCGCTCAGGGAATGCAGTGCTCAGAACACCCAGCTCGCTGCACCAGTGGATTTGCCACCCCACAATCAAAGCCCTTCCCAAAGGAAGCTTCCAGCCCAAACCGTGATCCCAGGATGGGGCATCCCCACCCTGGTGGGTGCGGGGGCGCTTGGGACCCCCTGAAAACTACTCGGGACCCAACCCACCTTTCTCCACGCTGAGGAAAACCTCAAACTTGAGGCTTAAACAGCTTTTTTCCCTCTCCCAAGCACATTTCCTCGGCTCTATCCCTACTAATCACCCGACACTGAGGAAGTCGCAGCAGCGACTCCCGCCTCGGGCGGGCAAAGCCCTTCGCAAACATTCATTATCCATCCTGGGGAAAGCTGTCCTGCCGTGTCACACCCTTGTCACCCGCAGCCAAGCCAGTGCCAGGGAGGGGCTAAACAGGCCCTGAGACAAGGGGGCCAAAGCGGGACCCCCATTCCCCGGGATCGCTGCGCATCCCCTTCCCACCCTCTGGAGGCGGAGGATGCCAAGGAACCGCCGCTGCTGCAGCCGCTGGTGCGGCCGAACCTCCGCACAGCCCAGCCCAGCCGAGCCCTGACCCAGATTCGCTGTTTGTTGTTGTCTGCCCGGCCGGGGACGCTGCTGGCCCCGCGGCGGTGCCGGGACATCAATTCCCCAGCGCTGACTGCGCCGCCCCGAGCGGGCTCCGCGGGCACTGCCGGGGCTCGGTACCGGCACCGGCACCGGCACTGACACTGACACCGGCACTGACACCGGCACTGACACTGACACCGGCACCGGCACCGGGGATGTGCGGGCAGCGCTGCCCTCTGCCCCCCGGTGTGTGACCGGGCTGGAGGCGGCGGGGAGAGGCTGCACCGAGCGCCCCGTCTGCATTTCCAGCGCTTTCATCCCTAAAATA